CGTGACCAGAGCGATTCCCATGATAATTTTTAAAAAGTATCATTGATATACATTGCACTAGGAAAGTTTTGGAGGCCAAAAGAAATTAAAACTAACATTAAACTTAACAACTGTAATTAAAAATCAGTACCGTTGTATAAAGCTGAAACACGAAAAACAACTAAGGCAATTACTAATAAACTACACACATTCATTAACTGGTGCCTGCGCAGAATAGAGGGAATGGTATAATAGAATTACTAACCCCGAGCTTTGGACGAGAGCTAAACAAGTTCCAGTGGAGCAAGAGTTGAAGAAAAGACGCTGGTTTAGGATAGGATACACGCTGACCAAACCTGAGAACAATATAAATAGAATGCCTTTGCAATAGAACCCACAGGGGAATAAAAATAGAAGTTGTAATATACTGTAAAGTTAATAATAAATTGTTCCCATTGACTGACTGACTTTCTACCCCACTAAGACATCACACAAGCGATAAACACCCGATGACACAAAGTGCCACCATGCGGATGAGGATCACCATGGAGAGGTCCCAGAAACCGCGTTCAGACAATTGGCCATATTGATGGCCTGCCTATATTGCGGCCCCTGGCAAAAGCCAGAGTGGGGCTTCAAATAAGAAAAAATTACGTCCTGAAAAGGACGTAAGTAAAGAGTATATAATTGTTCCCATTGTAATTAAAATAATACTGACATAAATAGAATGAAAGCATATTTACAATTCACAATCTTGACATACACATGAGCACCTACACCAATTAGCAGGGCACATGATGATAATGATGAATCTTGACATAAAGAAATAAATAGACGGTAATAATTATACCCGGAGAGTCACTCCTTTTTGTAGTGGAAATGCAGTATTCGTGTATGGTACTAGCTTTTTCAAACTTTCTGTTGCATTTCTCAGAAATCATTATTGTGAATATATATTTATTCTTCATACCAGTTCTTCTGCCCGTCGTCGAACAAGTAGAAAATCAGTTTTAACCTGTGTTGTTTTAGACACCAGACAGTGGGAGATAGACCAATTCCTTTACTGCTAGGGTTGCCAAAGTCCACCATTTAGCGGACGCTCAGATATACTTTGAAATAAGGAAGCATTCGCAAAATGGCAACCACTGTTAACACCAAGGGAGCCTTCGTGGTGTAGCGGCTAATCGCTCGCTTTCGGATCGGAAGGTCTTGGGTTCGGCTCCTGACAAAGACAGCTTTTTTTTAAATGGACATTAGCTCCCAGGTCGTCATAGACGTGAGTAAAAGTAAAAAAGAGAAAAAAAAAATAAAGGGCCCTTTTCCTCGCCTTTTAGGCGTATTGGGTATATAGGGCTAGACCCATATTTTATAGACCAACGGCACAAGATGGGTGATGTAGTCAGGATCACGCCAGCACTCTTTACTTCCCAGGACTGAACCTGGTACCCACTCAAGGCTAGGTCGACCTGGGAGCCAAGGTCATTTTTGAAAAACTTTTGGCTCCGCCAGGGAGCGAGCCCACGACCTTCCGATCCACAGGCGAGCGTTTAGCCACTGAGCCACGACGACTCCCTATAGACTTGAGTGGGTATCGTATTTTAGCTGTGGCAACTACGATGCAACATCTGTTATATTATAATCAAGATAAAAAAATTAAGTGGTAAAAAGTCACATTATCACACTGATAAAGCTAAAATGCCCGGCTCTCTAGCGAAGTTGGTTAAACCTGACTTTCGCGGCGGCCGGGTGACGAACTCCTTGTGGTCCGGGTTCACTCCCGGGGGTAGGCAGAAAAGCCACATTTCTCCCAGATTAACGGTACCTATAATGGAATCAATGCCGAATGGTTGCGATATCCATAGTACCGAGCCAAAGGGTTTACAACTCATGGTTTCTGGATACGTTAAAAAAAAAAAAATAAAGCTAAAATGTGGCGATTTCACGGGGTCATGCAAATATTAACTTTACTTTTGATGCAAATATTAACTTTACTTTTGAAAGACAGGAAAATTAACATATTTATCAATACATTAGCACAAAAAGTACAGTATCTTTGGCAAATTGTCACATATTTCAAGACATTTCAACACAACCGAGTCCAGTTCTATATAATTCACTGAAGTTAAGTTTAGTCCAGCTCAATTCAGTGTCATTTAGTCAAATTCAGATTTCAGTTCAATTTCTTTATATCCAGTTCAGTTAGGTTTTTGGTGCATCTTTGTTCAGTTCGGTTTTCAGTCCAGTCTCGTTTTCAGTCTAATCCAGTTTTCTGTCAACTTCATGACATTTTCAGTGTAGTTTCAGTTTTCAGTTATTTCCACATTAGTTTTCTACGGGGCTGAGCTGAATCAGTCCAGCCTATTTCAATTTTACTCCAATTCAGTTTAAGGTCTAATTCGCTTTACGGTCCAGTCTTGCTCAGTTTTTAGTTTTCTGTCTGGTCCGGTTCAATTTAAGGTTCAGTCTAATTTATTTCTGTCCTGCTGACTCTACATTTCAGTCTAGTTAAGTATTCTGTCCAAACCATTTCGGTTTTCAGCCCAGTTCAGTTTTCAGTTCAGCTCACTTAAATTCACAGTTCTAGTCCTAATTCATTAAAAAAAAAAAAAAAACGTGTAGGAGACCAAACTCAAGATGCTGTTACTGTCTGTAAATTTTATAACTTCTGATGGCCCAATGCCATTCTTAGGAATAGACATTTCACTGCATCAGTTCTAGACACATGTAGTTTTCAAACTCTTGAAAGTGACTGTTATAGACATGAGGTTGTTCAGGTTTTACAATTGTTTATCGTAGACAAACAATGGCTGAGCTGTTGGAATTGTCTGTTGTAGGCAGCCAATGGTTAAACTGATAGAATTGTCTGTCGTAGACAAGCAATGAAGGAGGTTGTTCAAGTTTTACAATTGTCTATCGTAGACAAGCAATTGCTGAGCTGTTAGAGTTGTCTGTTGTAGACAACCAATGGTTAAACCGATGGAACTGTCTTTCGTAGACAACCATCAATTGTTAAATTGCTAGAATTGTCTGTCGTAGACAAGCAATGGTTAAACTGCTGGAATTGTCTGTCGTAGACAAGCAATGGTTAAACTGCTGGAATTGTCTGTCGTAGACAAGCAATGGTTAAACTGCTGGAATTGTCTGTCGTAGACAAGCAATGGTTAAACTGCTGGAATTGTCTGTCGTAGACAAGCAATGGTTAAACTGCTGGAATTGTCTGTCGTAGACAAGCAATGATTAAACTGTTGGTAGTGTCTGTCGTAGACAAGCAATGATTAAATGGTCGAAATTGTCTATCGTAGACAAGCAATAGTTAAACTGATGGAATTGTTTGTCGTAGACAAGCATTGGTTAAACTTGGTATTGTCCACGTAGACAAGAAATGGTTACACTGCTGCACTGTCTGTTGTAAACAAGCAATGGTTACACTGTTGGAATTGTCTGTCGTAGACAAGCAATGATCAAAAGGTTGGAATTGTCTGTCGTAGACAATCAATGATCAAACGGTTGGAATTGACTTTCGTAGACAAACAATGGTTAAACTGCTGCACTGTCTGTTGTAAACAAGCGATGGTTACACAGCTGGAATTGTCTGCATAGGTTCTTCAATTGTTGGAATTAGGTATAGACACGCATTTTCCGAAATGTCTGAATTGTCTTTCTTGGTTCTTTGGTGTCGTTTGAAAGTGCAGGGTATGAAATGGAATGATGATCAGCTTTTCGTAACAGCCAAGACAATGTCTGCACTGATGTGCTTGTAAATACGATGTATGTAGTGATTGCTTTCCGTGTTTACACTGGAACAGTCTTGCTTTTCTTGATCTCTTGGTTGTCGTGCGATGTTTCTAGCTGTTGCTTGAAGCGTTTCATGAAACAGCTTTCCATTGACAGTTCCATCAGTTCAGATGGTGAACCTTGTTGCTTTTCAAAATCACGCCAGCACTCTATACTTCCCAGGACTGAACCTGGTACCCACTCAAGGCTAGGTCGACCTGGGAGCCAAGGTCATTTTTTAAAACGTTTGGCTCCACCAGGGAGCGAGCCCACGACCTTGCGATCTCTTGGTTGTCGTGCGATGTTTCTAGCTGTTTCATGAAACAGCTTTCCATTGACAGTTCCATCAGTTCAGATAGTGAACCTTGTTGCTTCTCAAAATCTCTTGGGGTATGTAAACACTACATGATCTGCATCTTTGCAGTTAAGCGGCTTAGTCGTTAGCAAGTTCAACTACTGTCACTGATGACTTGCAAGACGACCAAGCCTAAGATGTGTCCCAGAGGATGTCATAACTAATTACAATCGGACTTTTAGTTTGGGCCTTATGAGACGCTTACTGTGTCTCTGTAATGTGTAAATCACCACATGCGTGACAGGCTACCAGTGTGGCTAGGTAGCACTCGTTTTAATGTTTTCTGCTTTTTTCTCGTGTGGATACTGGTCAGATAACTGTGTGATTGTAAAAATCATTCTGTGGGGCTAATATTGAATTAAACATTGACAATTTAACCCCCTTGGTCCCATCAGGTTTTGTAAAAAAAATTAATATTTTTCTCTTTAAATACTGTCACAAAAACTCGAATCACTTGCTGTGTTGTAGACATGGACAATAAATTAAAGATAACCCCGTGGTGGCCAGATTTATTTAGTATACGCTGACCAAAACTTTAAAACAAGAAGACACTTGGTGTGATGTTTGAGACATGTTGGCCGATAGTCATAAGTTTTGATTGGGACTGAAAGCGTTAATTTGCTTCAATTCTTGACTACACTTGCGACTGTTAATTATCCCAATGAATTGCCAGTTAAGCCGATGCTGAATTAAATCTACAATTTATTATATTGGTAATAGGAATGGACGCATTCAAGCTGATATACTTTGGTCGAAACGTCGGTGATTTCTGTTCCTGTCTTTTCCATTCTCTTAGATGAGCTTTCTATTCATGTTTTTTTTTTTTGTATTGGGTAGTTCTTAGCTGTGTTGTTGAATGATATTATAGTTGAATGAATTTATGTAGAGACATTTAAGTAGATTGCATCTCCTTTTTCCATCGACATTTGAGTGGGAAAATCATCAGGCGGGTGCTGCCCTCTTCGAGACTACTGCTGTCACTGCTTACACAGCTGCTTCTTCTGGTGCTGTTGGTTCTAACGCTGCTGAAACTCTCCCGTGACGAAGACTCCCACACTGTCGTACAATGGCTTCGATGGTCACTGGAGAGGTCAAGCGCGCCGGCCATGCTTGTACATGAACCGGTATCCGTATATCCCACATGGGAACTTCTAGAATCAGGTCTGGAGTTTGCTGAAATGCTGCCGCTGGTCGCGGAGCTGGAGCTGCTGCCCACAGAATCTGCTCGCTCCCTGTTAGCCGGACCTAAAGAATGATTCAAGGCAGTTACGCTTCTCATGCTGTACCCTCGTGAATCATCGATGGAACGGGCATCGTCAGAACCCGAACTCTGCTGCTCGTCTTCTCCCTTGCTAATATTTCCTTCGGTTGGTGAGGGTGATGACATCGGGCTGTTCATTGAAGCTTTTTCACGAGTTGAAGAAGAATCCGAAGACGAATCTTCCTCCTTCCCGTAACGTCTTCGTAAAGCTGCGACTTCATGTTTTAGCTCAATATTCTCTTTCTGTAGCTCGATAAGTCTGGTCTCCATCAACTTCTCAATTGCTTTTCGTTTGACTCTTGACCTACGTGCTGAATCATTATTTTTGAGCCGTTTCGACCAGTAACTGTCATCTTTTTTATTATCTGGCACGAACTCTCTCTTGGCCCTCTGATGCGAGGCAGCCTGCGCTAAATCCTCTGCATTAAAATGATTATTTTTATTTACAATGGTAGGTATTGACAAATTTCCCTCATCTTTCAAATGGGCACTACGGGTTCCTTGAGGCGACATCGGCGTTGTCAAACTCAGAGGATGAGATCCTGAAACGGACAACCGAGCGTCCTCTAACTTATTACCGTCTGTCCCTGGGGAATGCTCATGAAAGTCTCCTCGGAATGAGTTCATGTACGTGTTATAAATCTGCTGGCTCTTTTCGTAGCTTAGGTGGTCGATGTCTATGGCGATATCGGACAATGATTTTGCTTTGTTGTGTATGGAAGACAGGCTCATGTCAACGGGTCGGTCCATGTCTGTGAGCTCCTCCAACATCTCTTGCTTCACAAGTTTAGGACCACTGAAGGCGGCTTGCAGCTCCTGGTAGTACTGTGGTGTTGCATACATCATCTTGGTGTCTGGTGTACCTGCACCGCTTTTGTCTTAACAGGGATCTGTTTCTGATCACAATGACGGCAATCTGTAGAAGACAGTTAAAAAAAAAACCAGTTAAAGTTATGCAGACCCTATAAAGGATGTTTTCAGGCGAAAGCAATCGATGTCATTGTGCCCCCTCCCCTTTTCCTTCTTAAAAAAAAAAATTATTTCATATGGTTCGACCTGTCTCCATAAAGAGTGTACGCAGCGCCCCCACCCTCCCCCCTCCCCCTCCGAACCTAGAGGAGGACACTAGAACGGTAAATGAATTAATGTAAACTGACATGTGATACCCTGGGTAGAAAAGCAGCACACCGGCAGCAATGGAGATCACTTGTGAATGCCTTATGTGTCAACGGCGACATGAAGAGGATATAGATATAGAACTATACCTGGGTTTATCTGGGTAAAGATTCGACATCACAGCATTTAGGACAAGCCTATATTAGTTCCATGTCCCTTCTCAACCGCCAAAGAAGCGTCCCATTACTTAAAGTGTCCGTTGTCATCTGGTTAACTACTCGTCTTTTCTTCCCCCCCCCCCCCCCGATTCTCAAGTGGCACACACAACCCGCAGACACACCCCGCAGCATCATTATCTACCGGCATTGGTTTTCTAAATCTTTTAAAACATTCAAGTTTATCACAAGAACTTGTATGTCGGTGTAAATCAGAAAGTGAACACAAGAAGAAGAAGAAGAAATATCTTTATCCACTTATTACTGACTCATCCCACAGGTAGAAGATCACCTCTGCCGTGTACAGTTGCAGTAGACCCCTAATTGAAGCAAATCTAGCCTACCTATCTGCCTGCTCCTCCCTAAATACGTCTACATAAACATCATAGGGAACTCCACAGCTCAAGCAAACCACCCCCCACCCCCACCCCCAAGATAAATTTCCCAATATTCGCATTCAAGAAACAAGAACATCGAAATGACAACCTTAAGAGAACGACATTCACAGCTTCAGGACCGAGCCATCAAACATTTTCCGACTGTATTTATAAATGAAAACACGCTGGTCGATAAAGAACGTTAGATTCCCGGATATGATGTCACGAAAATGGTTGGAAGGCGTATTCAGGAGAAGGCTGTGATCTGCACTTGCAAACCGACGGACAGATCCCGAGGACGAACATGCAAATTTCAAAAAAAATGTAAAAGACCCTTGTCCACACTTACATACGTATTGATAATTAAGTGCTATACCTATACTTTTAGACCAATCGGTGTATGGCGGGGGAATATGGTCAACGTCGCACCGGCCGCCTTTATTTCCTAGGACTTTTCCTAGAACCCGTTTAGCTCTTTCAGCCCCAGACTATTTTAAATCCTAAGCAGAAGTCAAAAGTAAATGTTACTACAAAAAATCATGATGTCATTATTTTAAACAAGACTAAACACACAATGGAAGTAGCCAAAGTTACAGCCAGATTTCTGTAGAATGCTGTGCCAAAAACTCCAACTGTGTTTATTATGTATTTGTTCTTCAGCACTCAAGGACACGTATCAAAATGTATTTTTTTTAAAACGATGGCTCTGTAGTTCATATTATATATATATATATATATATATATATATATATATATATATATATATATATATATATATATACATACATATATATATATATATATACATATATATATATATATATATATATATATATATATATATATATATATATATTATATATATATATATAGACATATATAAAGAATTTTATTAGGACATTCTTTGCACCCCTCACCCACTCACGGCTGCTAAGCGAGTCATGATAAACACATCCATGGTAAGATAACAAGAAAAGCAAACGCTGAATCTCTTACTCTTAGTACATAGTTATGTAACAGTGTTACATCATTTCCCTCAACGCACCCGTCCAGTCAGTAGTTCCCACACCGTGCTGGGGGTCACATAATTGACAAGTCAGTGTGGAGCAGGACCCAGAGAATAATTCCAAGTGTCGATCATTTTCCTTCTTCTAACATGTCTTCGCCTCCTCCAACTACTGCTGCTGCTGTTAGTACTTCTAATACTACTACTAATACTACAACAACAACAACAACTACTACTACTACTACTACTACTACTACTACTACTACTACTACTACTACTACTACTACTACTACTACTACTACTACTACTACTACTACTACTACTACTACTACTACTACTGCTACTACTACGATTGATACTACTAATATTACTAATGCTATAACTACAATGGAGGGTGGCCAATTATATTTAAAAAGGCGTATAACTTTACGGGTGCACTGCTGTCTTTTGTGATTAACTTTTGCACCAACAGGGAGTTGCATTTCTGGCGTGGGACCATTAATGTTGGCACAACTGATAGCCGCCTAATGCAATTATACTTTGCTGGAAATGACAATAATGTTACTAGTTTTCAAATGGAACAGTAAAGGATATGTTGTATGATATCTGCTGATCCAGGGATCAGTGATGCTAAAACATCGGTTAACGACTGACTATTTGTAAGGAGCCGTATTTGTTACTCACGATCTACGCCAGAGTAAAATGAAGGATCCTTTTCCACACATTTGGGTTTATTGAGCATATACGAATGGACCTATATTCTAGACCTATATTCTATAGACCGGCCGTTTGCATAGCGCTCTAAAGGTCGCGGGTTAGTTCCACGACCACGCCCTTCAGTTCATGAGTGCAATTTTTACGGAGATCCCTGTGGATTGTTGCCGGAGCTACAGAGTTCGTGCTTTGCGCGGCGCTCTCGGCAAGCGGCTAGTCGTTCTGCGGAGAGAGACCGAGCCATATAGGATAAAACCGGGTGCAATGAAGTCGATTCTCTCTAAATTAACCTATGTAGTCAACGTCACCCCGGCCGCCTATACTTTCAGAACCAAATCTGGTACCCATTCAGTGCTGGGTCGACCTGTGAGCCAGGTCTGTAAAAATATGGGTGCTCTTCCTATATGCCCGATGCGCCTAAAGGCGTGAAGGGGGATCTTTATTTTACTGTGTGCTCGTTAAAACATTGAGACTACGTAGATGTCGATTCACTATCTTGGATTCACCAGATTGTGGATTTACTAGGTGTGGATTCACTAGAAGCGGATTCACTAGACGTGGATTCACCAGACATGGATTTACTAGATGTGGATTCACTAGATGTGGATTCAGCCGATTTATATTCACCATTTGTGGATTTACTAGATGTGGATTCACTAAATGTGGATTCACTAAATGTGGGTTCACTAGATGTGGATTCAGCCGATTTGTATTCACCATATGTGGATTCACTAGATGTGGATTCAATAAGTGTGAATTCACTAGGTGTGGATTCACACAGGATGATTCCGAAACAGTAACACTCAAATATAAAGGTTCTGAAAAGAATAAAAAAGATAACTGTTGCAGAAACAAACGAACGAACGAACAAACTTTTTTTTTAAAGGGTTAAGAATTGGGCACGCAGGCCCTTTTAACATTCTGCCCTTCGAGGTATCAATTAAGATAAGGCAGGCGAAATATTTCGGTCATATTAAAACAAATAATGGACATAAAAAATAGTACTGGAGAGGAAAGTCAAGGCAAGTGAGCAAGAGGCAGACAGCGAAACAGGTGGGTGGGAAGGGGGAATAACGTCATGAGATCGAGGAACGGTAGTCTGAGGGAGTGTCCGCGCAGGGAAATAGACACATAAAAAACAGAGGGGGATCACTTGAAGTGTATAAACTGTATACAGTGTATTGACAGGCCAAACTACTGGACGTAAATTTGCCTAGAAAAACCAGACAACAGCCAGGGGCTGTTAGGGTTGGTTCTGCAACGTCCTGTAAAGGATACGCAACTAACCCTTTTTTTTCGGCTCTGTGGCTAAGTCGATGCGAACGCTTCGTAATGCCGGAATGCCGGGTGCGATCCCAGCTGCGGGCCATGCGTCTTGCGTTGGTTTCGACAGTGGTGTAAAGAATGCCGACCGTCTAGGAAGCAATGGCAAAATACTGGACGTAAATTTGCCTAGAAAAACCGCACAACAGCCAGGGGCTGTTGGGATTGGTTATGCAACGTCCTGTAAAGGATACGCAACTAACCAATTGAGAGGCACTTGTAGAAATACAGTGCGTGGTGGGGGCTGATGGCGTCCAACCTTCACTATACAGAGGTATCTGATTGTCTGATTTGTGTTCTCGATGGGCGTAACCCTGGACACTTTTCGAAAAAGGCGCAACTTTACAACCAATCGATTACGTAGTCATCGGCTTTTCTGACGTCACACCGTTGCACTATGTTTATGTTTATGTTGTTTTTTCAAAGAAACATCCTCATGGCACTCCGGTGTAACCCATAAGTGCTCCGTTCTTCTTCAAACTCCAAATATTGCAGGGCAGCGCCTTTAGGCTACTCTTTTCGATTTCCAACTGCCAAGGGATTTTTTTTTTTATGTGCGCAGCAATAAACACGGGCGACCGGTCTTACTACCCACGTCCGACACACACACACACACTCTCTCTCTCTCTCTCTCTCTCTCTCTCTCTCTCTCTCTCTCTCTCTCTCTCTTTCTCTCTATGTATATATATATATATATATATATATATATATATATATATATATATAATAGCTTAAGTCGGACGTGCTACTACCCAGAGACCAGGGGAAATTACTAGAAGTCCACATGAAAAAATCCTAGCCTTCACCTGGGATTGAACCCGGGACCTCTAGCACTCTAGGAAAACATAATACCTCCATACCACGAGATCATTTTATAACTGCTATATTAAATACTAGTGTACTAGAAATTACACACCACAAGAAATTCTGATCTATATGAATACTGTGTGTGACTGACCAACGGGTGACCAAAATCCAAACGGCCATACGCATAACCTGTCATAAAAAAAAAACGTAAAGATCCCTTTTCACGCCTTTCGGCGCATCGGGCATATGGGCAGAACGTCCCATATTTTTACAGACCATCAGCACTCT